TCAACTTTTATATTTTCAACTTTTATATTTTGAACTTTTGCATTTTCTATAAACATGTCTTTTCTTGGCGGAAGTAACCATATTTTTTCGAGAATGCGTTTTTTCCCACCCACTTTCAAAATTCGGCGCCCCATTTTCATTTTTGCGCCCCCCAAGAATTGCCAGCTGGGGGGCCGTGGCCCCCCAGCCCCCCCTGCCAGCACACCACTGCAAGCGACGCGAACAGGCAGGCCGTGGGCTGTTGACAAAAATTATTTCGCTTCGTGGCACCCAAGTGGGAAGTACTTGCCCATTGCCGAGAAAATGGGTGATCAATGATTATCCTCTATTAAATTGTATTACAGCAAAAAAAACGCTATCGAAATAAGGGCTAGAAAAACAAATTAACAAAATTAGATAAAACGAAAGGCTATATATTAACCAATCGAAAGTGTTAGGGTTTCTCTAGAATTAACTATAATATAAAATGCAGAAAAAGGGTGAAGAGTCTCCATGCAAATGCATAGAATTAGAAGAGTTACTAACATATAACAGCAAAAGCCTCAAAACCGATATGAAAACATCGAACTGAAAAGAACCGGAATATGATTGGAACAATTATACTGATTTACATGCGTTGCATGGCTGTAAGGAGTAAAACACATCGTAAAACAACATGACAACTTGTTCATTATTTAAGTACAGGCTTTCGAACTCTTTAACGTTTCTGACAAGAATTTCGGATTTAAATTTGAGCTAACTTGGGCTTAGCAAAAACAGTTCTCGATCTCTACTCATTTGAATAACGCACGAATTTACGATTGTGGTTCTTGTGCCCCCCCCCCCCCCAGCTGCCTCCGTGGTTCCCGAACTTCCAACCTTTACATTTTCAACTTTTGCATTTTCAACTTTTACATTTCCAACTTTTACATTTCCAACTTTTACATTTTCAACTTTTACATTTTCAACTTTTATATTTTCAACTTTTATATTTTCAACTTTTATATTTTGAACTTTTGCATTTTAACTTTTGCATTTTCAACTTTTACATTTTCAACTTTTACATTTTCAACTTTTACATTTTCAACTTTTACATTTTCAACTTTTACATTTTCAACTTTTACATTTTCAACTTTTACATTTTCAACTTTTATATTTTCAACTTTTATATTTTCAACTTTTACATTTTGAACTTTTGCATTTTCAACTTTTACATTTTCAACTTTTACATTTTCAACTTTTACATTTTCAACTTTTACATTTTCAACTTTTATATTTTCAACTTTTGCATTTTCAACTTTTGCATTTTCAACTTTTACATTTTCAACTTTTACATTTTCAACTTTTACATTTTCAACTTTTACATTTTCAACTTTTACATTTTCAACTTTTACATTTTCAACTTTTACATTTTCAACTTTTACATTTTCAACTTTTGCATTTTCAACTTTTGCATTTTCAACTTTTACATTTTCAACTTTTGCATTTTCAACTTTTACATTTTCAACTTTTGCATTTTCAACTTTTGCATTTTCAACTTTTGCATTTTCAACTTTTTACATTTTCAACTTTTGCATTTTCAACTTTTGCATTTTCAACTTTTGCATTTTCAACTTTTACATTTTCAACTTTTGCATTTTCAACTTTTGCATTTTCACATTAATCAATATTAGTATAATCACATAGGCTTTTACATTTTCACATTAATCAATATTAGTATAATCACATAGGTCATTATTGAAAATTCTCCACGCTGATTGGTTGCCGTTGAGGTGATTATTACGCGATTTTAGCCGTGGCACAAAATACAGATCAGTACCAGAAAGGCCACTCAACGGTGCAAGGTGTAGCCATTTTTTATGCAAAAATATGCATTCGACTGGCCAGAAGGCTGGGCATCAAGCCAATACAGCGCATTTATTGGCCATAAAATGTAATCGACTAGCTAGGAAGATGGCGGCCACCGCTTCCGACGTATATGGGCCCTTTTGTGTGGATATTTATTCTGTGGCCGTGGGCTGTTGTACGACAAAAGCAAATTCGTGGCAACCCCCCTGGAGAATAGATTTTCTGTGGTTCAATGCATAGTACCATAGATGTTCAATTACCAAACAAAAGTTCCCAACAAAAAAAAAACAACGTGCCCAATTATACATGTCATTTTTATTGTAATTTACTGTAAAATTTCTCATTTGTTTGCTGTAATATGAATTTAATTGAGGATAATCATTGATCACTCATTCTCTCGGCAATGGACAAGCCTTGCTTGGGAACTGTTTTGGTAGTAATGTACCTAAATTCTATTCAAATATATAAATCACAAATCAAGTAATTCCTACATGACATGGGTGCCACGAAGCGAAATGATTTTGGCTAACAAAGCCCACGGCCTATTTGTTCGCGTCGGCTTGCAAACTGCTCAGAACAATCTCCCTATCAAAATTGCAAATATTGTAGGACAATATTGCAATGTTGCTCGCAAGAGAACATCCGGTTTGGCTTAAATACAGTACTCAGTAGACACAGTAGTCTCGTCGTGATCGTTGCAGCCCTTAACTGCACCACAATATAATTTAACAATTAAGTTAATTAACATGTAAACAAATAACTTCAAAAGAATTGAGGAGTGGGATAGAGCGAGGAAAATATATATAGTTTATAACCAAGTCGACTTAGAATAAAGTCGCTGTAATCTGTAGTATATATACTGTCTATATAATGTACAATCTTCCTATCAAAATTGCAATATTGTTGGACAATGTTGCTCGCAAGAGAACATCCGGTTTGACTTAAATACAGTAGACACCTAAGTAGTCTCATCGTGATCGTTGCAGCCCTTAAACTGCACCACAATATAATTTAGCAATTAAGTTAATTAACATGTAAACAAATAACTTTGAAAGAATTGAGGAGCGGAATAGAGCGAGGAAAATATATAGTTTATAACCAAGTCGACTTCGAATAAAGTCGCTGTATTATCTGTAGTATGCTGTCTAAATAATGTACAGTCTGTGCCAATATATATAAACTATAACAGCGAATAACTTTATAAAAAATATCGTATGAAAGTTACAACACTATACAAAATATAAAAATACGAAAACACGAAAATACGAAAATACGAAAATACGAAAATACGAAAATACGAAAACATCGAAAATACGAAAATACGAAAAATGCGAAAATACGAAAATACGAAAACATGGAAATGCAAAAGTTGAAAATGCGGAAAATGCGAAAATGCGAAAATACGAAAATGAAATGCAAAAGAAAATGCGGAAACATGGAAATGCAAAAGTTGAAAATGCGGAAACATGGAAATGCAAAAGTTGAAAATGCGGAAACATGGAAATGCAAAAGTTGAAAATGCGGAAACATGGAAATGCAAAATGTATTTCATGATGTCGCGTCTGGGCCACCGTAATTGCGTAGCGTCTTGTAGTATTTGAAATGCAATATAATTTGAGCTCCAATTTCGATTGCTTGATCAGCTCGCATACTTTTTAACTTTCCAGTTTCCAATCTGTATGAAATGCACAACACACGTGATACATGGGGACTATTTCTGTTATTATGTCTAGTAAACACTTGTGAATTCAAATGTTTCCTTTGTGAAATGGTTAATCAGCCAGTAAATAATATTTGATTGTTTCAGTATTAATAAAGACCATGTCAAGTCCGTTCAGCTCATATAAAGAAAGCCCACAGATATAAAAATTGCCCAATTTTTGCATCGTGACTCGGGAACTTTTTTGAATTGAAATGTACTCTAGTGACTCTAGTTTTATATATTCATTTACAATTGCGAACCCAGAAAAGTGTTAGCTATTCAGTTAGCCTTATTTTACAAATATAGCAGTTCAAAATGTAAACAAAGTATAAATCTCCAAATGTTTACCAATTTGGCAATTAATTTACCGAATACCGATACTGTAATAATGAAATCGGGCGAGCCCTATAGCCTGCGATCAGGCTTGCTACTATAAAGCGTGTTTTATAAAAGTGTGTTTGTTTAAGTTGTGTGTTTTGTAAAGGTGTGTTTGTTGGTTAAGTGTGCTTATTCTGTGCAGTGTGTTTTTCTATTAAAGTGTGTTTATCTTTAAACTTGGGTTAATTAACACGCTTTTCATAGCAAGGGTGTGCTAACTAACACGGTACAAAAAGTGTGTTTTTCTGAAAGTGTGTTATGTAACACATTCACCTCCATCGCTGTGTGTTATGCACTGTAACTGTGTGTTATATAACGCACATGTGTGTGTTATTTAACTCACAAAGGTGTGTTATGTCGAAATCGTATGCCAAGAATGTGTTATATAACACACTTGACGTGCTATATTTCGGAGCTAACCTGCAGCTCTAAGAAGGACGAATTCTATTGGCTGAGCTGTTTTCCAAGCTTTAATTATTAATGCTTCGTAATATCTGACTTGAACATGGGGAAAACAAATTTATGCCTGCCTCGTCCCCAGTCGCTTGCTATCAAATAATTAATTAGAAAAAAACGAAAATACTTAATCAGGAAAAACAAAAAAACCCCGAATAATTAAGAGGAAAACGAATAATTAGAATAGTTAATAACGAAAAATGTCGTCCTTAGTTGCGGGCGTGCGCCTTTATCTATCGGGCTTGCAGTGCACGCGCTGATCTATATATTACTGATATTTAAATTTGATCTATACAGTTAAATTTGATCTACATAGAGGAGCCTGCGGAGGAGGCAAAATTTATGCGATATTCCACAGGATGGTTGTTCCAAGGGCTAATTTTTGTTGACAATTTGCAATGCAAACGAAATTTATTGGCTCGCGAACGACTTACATTGTAGTTAATAAAAACACGGGGTACACCTCATTTTGCTGTGCTGAGTGGTATATTACTACCTTAAAAAATAAGCAGAAACTCGACGTTTCGAGGTAGTAATATAACCACTCAGCACAGCATTTTCACGTTGGTACTACCAACACTGGTACAGACAGTTTTAGTATATACACCTCATTTTGTGTTTTTCCGCGTTATGACGTCATTGCCAATGGGCTAATGGTATAGGGAATCAAATGTTGTTATATATTATTGGATACCGCGACTTATGTCTGTAGCAAATGTAGCAATGTAGCGAATATAGTCCTTTATATTCGAATGGATACCGCGACTTATGTCTGTAGCAAATGTAGCAATGTAGCGAATATAGTCCTTTATATTCGAATGGATACCGCGACTTATGTCTGTAGCAAATGTAGCAATGTAGCGAATATAGTCCTATATATTTGAATGGATACCGCGACTTATGTCTGTAGCAAATGTAGCAATGTAGCGAATATAGTCCTTTATACTCGAATGGATACCGCGACTTATGTCTGTAGCAAATGTAGCAATGTAGCGAATATAGTCCTCGCGACTTATGTCTGTAGCAAATGTAGCAATGTAGCAAATATAGTCCTTTATATTCGAATGGATACCGCGACTTATGTCTGTAGCAAATGTAGCAATGTAGCAAATATAGTCCTTTATATTCAAATGCATACCGCGACTAGTATGTCTGTAGCAAATGTAGCAATGTAGCAAATATAGTCCTTTATATTCAAATGCATACCGCGACTAGTATGTCTGTAGCAAATGTAGCAATGTAGCAAATATAGTCCTTTATATTCGAATGGATACCGCGACTTATGTCTGTAGCAAATGTAGCGAATATAGTCCTATATATTGGAATGGATACCGCGACTTATGTCTGTAGCAAATGTAGCAATGTAGCGAATATAGTCCTATATATTGGAATGGATACCGCGACTAGTATGTCTGTAGCAAATGTAGCAATGTAGCAAATATAGTCCTTTATATTCGAATCATACCGCGACTAGTATGTCTGTAGCAAATGTAACAATGTAGCAAATATAGTCCTTTATATGTCCTATATATTTGAATGGATACCGCGACTTATGTCTGTAGCAAATGTAGCAATGTAGCGAATATAGTCCTATATATTTGAATGGATACCGCGACTTATGTCTGTAGCAAATCGCAATGTCCTAGTATTTAACGACATATGCGGCTAATTATATTTAAGGACATTAAGTATAAATAGCAAAAAAATTTGGGTTTCAATGGTTTTTAATTCTTCTATAACGTTTGGTAAGAAAATATTCGTATGAGTTTTGCAAAATATTCGCATTCATATAAATAAGCATATGGCCGCATTAAATAGTGATGTTATAAAATACAGTAACAACCTCCCTCTTTTCCCACAACTATTGAAACGTGACAAAGGCTCATTGACTCGATTGTTAACTTTTCAGATAATGGTTTTATTGTTTTAATAAAATTCCTACAATGCAATGCGATGCAGCAAATAGCTATATTAATTCTGCATCGTTTTCTTCACGAAGCCTTTCATGTACTGGATTTAAGGTTTGCGGACAAATTCCAAAATCGGACATTGACCAAAGTCATACTCAATTTCAATTTGAATTAGAGGGGCTACAACGTTTGCTCACTCTATCAGACCCAGAATTTGAGAACAACCTATTCACCAACACACCATCCGACTCACCATCCACCATATCAACCAACCCAATTTCGACTTCCACTCTCCCACAATTCACCCCAACTGTTGACACACCAACCAACATATCCCAAAGTCACAGCACAATGGACACAACCACAACCTCCACCCAGATCCAACCTACAAGTACCCCAATCCAGTCCCCAAATGCCATCCTAACCCCAACCTCAGCCAAAACCACCTGCACCCTAACATTGCCAGCCGACATGAGCCAACCCAGCAATATCCCAACCACATCCCAACCAATCATACCACAAACCCCCCTAATATACCAAATCACCACCACCACACCTCAACCACCTATCACTTCCAATAGCACAACCACCATGTTCAATAAACTTGTTGAACTCCATCACCGCAAGAATGACCATCAACGACAGTTGACCATTCTCAACAAACACATCACAAACCACACCGCACCGGCTGGCCTCAACATCAGCATTCAACCCTGGGTCCAACTGTCACCAAACCTCAAGGAAGCATGGGACACTGGCATCCAGAACTGCATGTCCCACCTCACAGACATCCTGCACCAACACCACTCAGAGGAATCATACAAAATTGATGAGCAAATCTCATCACTTTCCACAAAACTAAACGACAATCTCCCACAGGAGTTGTCTAGCACTATCATCCATATCGCAAGCACTCACAAACCACCATCCAAACGCAAAACAGCACCAAAGTCAAACACCAAACATCAACCGAAGCACCCCAAAACCACAGCAACCACTTCACATCCCACGAAACCTGAAAACAAGCAGGTTTCTCAGAAATGGCCACATCGCCAACAACACAGGGAACCATCACCTCCCACCTGCAAACCACCATTACGAGTACCACCTCCACCCAGCAACACTACACCACTACACCCGCCAACGACCACAATACCAGCTCTAACCAGCATCATGCATTCCTCCATCAAGCAACGACTGATGGGGAAACAAACACAGTTCCCCACCATATACAACATGTTCATGAATGGAAGACCAAAGATTTTTCCTCCATTAACAACCACCACCAATTCAATGTAAATAGTCTAGGCCTGTACATATCATAATCCACACACTACATATAGTTTAATTAATACACAATTGTCACATAAAGATATGCAGTTACAGAATATTCATTAAATTCATCAACATTATAAAGTTGTACAGTTGTTTAATTCATACATATCCCCCCTAAACCCAGACCCAATTAAAACCCACCTGAAGTTTATCATCATGACCAACCAGCATAACACCATACGAACGCCTCACCATTCAGCTTTCAAAGAACGAGAAATAAAAGGCAAAAATGTCTGTCGCGGGCTCGGCCACAGAGCAAATATCAAAACATTAATACGCATCTCAACCACCATATTTCACCGTTTTAATTAATACCAACACCGAGAAATATTAAAATGACAGACAAATTTCATGGCAGAAAACTTTTTGTCACAAACTGTGTCACTAGCGTTGGCGCTTACGATTTTCTTGCTTAAAAATATACATGTTTTGTTGATTGTTTATGGATTTATTCTCATAGTTTTAACAACTTTTACGAAAAATACTTCAGATATAAGCTGTGAACACACATGTACACAAAACTGTGCAACATTTATGATCATATTGCATCAATTTGTCGGAGTATGGCGCTCAAATTTGTGACATTGTTTTGTTCGCTTTGGCAACCCTCGTATATATCAGATGCTATTCGGCTTCAAATGTGACTGAATAAACACTGATAGTGTTGCCTGAAATATGAAGTGATATTGACTGTTTGTTCTGTATATCAAGGTATGTAATGTACATTTATACTGAATTTATTCGATTTTTTTCACACGTTGCTTTCACATTTCCTCAGAGTCTCGGAAATCACATTTTCTAACACAGTTTCACACATACAGAAAGACTTCATTTCACACATGCAGAAAGACTTCTTCAGAAATCACAGTTTTTAACATATAAAAAAACTTCATATTATCTCATCAGTTAATCAAATTATGATAACAGTACGTAGTAATGCTTAGAAAGATTTTATTCTGTTTTCCATATACAGTGTACAACTGTTATTTCAATTTTCTCTTTCCTATATTTTCTTTAAAGCAGGTACTGTTCTGTTACAAAACAACTAATAAACATTTTGTTATTTTAACAGGTGAACCATATTTTACATGAACTTGGGGAAAAAAACAACTTGAATTCCATGGAAATATATATAATCATGTCATCAATCAGATAGTAAACAATCATTAAGATGGCCTCAAGATTATATTTCACAGTGACCAAACATGAAAATTTTTAAATGGGAATTAGTTGATGGCATTATAGTTTTCTAATGCTATATAATTTTGTTCATCAAGGTGAAGAAACCTTAACTCACTATACCTTTTCCTGTTACAGAGCTATGGTAGTAATCTTAGAAGATTTTCATGATCCCTCTATTCAGTAGTTCTTTAACCAGTCTGGTATTATGACTGTATTATGTTAAATAGCCTTGTGTGACTTTTGTATTTTGTTTCTTTAATAATATTTGCAATGATCAAAATTACAGTTTAATCTTTGTATTTCTAATGATAATTACTTGCACATATCCATCACACTTCTCTGTTACTATTAAACTTATTACTATCATGCAAGTAAAATCTCTTTGGAAAAATAAAATGTTGTCCCAGGATAGTCATGAATACCAGCTAGTAAAACTAATGAATATACCTATAATCATGTACATATGACTATCATATAATTTGTTGTAATTCCTTTAAGTGTTTCCAATTAAATAAATTTCTATTTTCAGTTGTTCATTGTTCAAACTAATTTGAAACCTACAGTATATGTAGTTGCTATGATTCAGATTAATATCCAAAGTATGCCTTTTACTTCAGTTAGACTCCTCCCTAATACAGACACTTTATTGTGCCACTCCAATGTTCATTCAAAGTGATCCAACTGACATCTGAGCTGGTGATAATATACAGCAAAGTATTGGAAGTAGTATATCAGATATATATAAGAGTATATCAGATAAGTTGTTCATTCAGTCAAGACCTTCAGGTTGTGCTGATCATCATATCAAACTCCATCACATATTGTGCCTTAAAAACATATATACAAATTTTAAAAGTTGTTGCAGCACACTGGGCCATTCCATCTAATATAGCCCCCTCCCCACACACCCTATTGAGGGGTCTCTTCATAATACCTTTTAATAATTTTGGAACCCCATTGGATGCAATTTTGGAACCCCTATGGATGTCTTTCTACCCCTTTAGGATATTGTTCCTGCCCCTTTGGATATCACTAAAACACCTAATTTTTAGGAAATCTCTTAAGCTACCCTCCAGAAAAATTTAAGGTAAAAACCCCCTCTATAAAATCCTCATATAGGATATCCAGACCTCAATAGACAATAGGGGGGGGGGGCTATTAAATGGAATGGCCTATTTGACTTGGTGAGTGGTGACTACCACCAAAGGAAAATGAAACATGCTGGCCTGCTTTACATACAGAATAAAGTTTGAAGCATTTCTACTGTTACTTGTAACGATAATCAGATTTGATGAGAAAATATGGAGTCTTTCTGTATGTTAGTGCAGGGCCGTAGGAAGCTCTTTTCGATTGGGGGGGCTGAAAGCGAGGGCCGAAGGCCCGAAGAAATTTTTAAATTTAGAGTCTCTAAAATGCCATTTCCTGGACTTTGGGGGAAGATTCAACAGAATTCTGATAGTCAGAAAACAGCGTTTTAGTATGTCGAAATTTACCGGAAAGTATGGGCCAGACTGTAGTATTATAAATGCTCGGCGGGAATTTTCGTCGTAAATGGCAGTTGCGCGGAAATGAAGGCAGAACATTTGAGAAAATTTCGAAAATCTGGAGTCTCTAGATGGTCTGAAATGGCAATTTCAGAGTTTTCTTTCGCAAGACCCAACACGCAAAAGACAAAATAAATCATTAGTTGATCAAAAATGTGCAGATTTTGTGGGATTTTCTTGAAAATGCGCGACAGAAATTCAGCTAAAATTTCTACGCGAGGAACGATCTGGAGTATGAGTAATATCTTCATTCTTTGCAGTTTGTCACAGATTAAATGATAAAGTTTGCATGATTTTGAAAAAAGAATGATTATTAGCAAATTATTAGGGGGGAGCTGCAGCCCCCCCAGCCCCCCCGGTTGCTACGGCCCTGTAGTGATGCGATCTCATTGTTCATAAAGCTGAAATAGTTTGAAACTCGTGTGAAAATAAATCCAGTATAAATGTACAGTACGTACCTTGATATACGGAACAATCATTCAATATCATTTCATATTCCAGGCAGCACTATCAGTGTTTATTCAGTCGCATTTGAGGCCGAACAGCATCTGATATATACGAGGGTTGCCAAAGCGAACAAAACAATGTCACAAATTTGAGCGCCATACTCCGACAAATTGATACAATATGATCATAAATGTTGCACAGTTTTGTGTACATCTGTGTTCACAGCTTATATCTGAAGTATTTTTCGTAAAAGTTGTTAAAACTTTGAGAATAAATCCATAAACAATCAACAAAACATGTATATTTTTAAGCAAGAAAATCGTAAGCGCCAGCGCTAATTGTAGTCAGCAACATAACGTTGTCGTTACTGCGCATGCGATAAATCTCCAAGAATCTTGGGGATTTCATCGTATTTTACCAGGGTCTTCCTCAGCTCACGCGCCACCACGAGGAAGACCCTGGGGACGAGGTTGCCACGAAGCCATCAAAACTTATTTATCCTTCGCTATCCATTTGAAACAACTTTCAATAATATTTTCAACCGATGTTTCCACTTTCATCAGAGACACATTCACACAACATCGATACACCCAACCCACTCGAAACTTCCCAGGCCCACTCCCTATTCAACACTTTGAAAAGTGTCCACTATTCTGAGCAGTAATCGCAACCTAACCCAATCCCCACCGGAACCTTAACCCAAAACCTTATTCCAAACCCTTATAATCCAAACCCTACCCTATCAACTAATCCTACCCTAACTAAGCCCACCCTAATCATCAAACCCCCTACATTTTAGGATTCGTCCTTCTTCCCCCCCCCGGGCGTAATATTAGAACCCCTCTCCTCCCAAGAATTCCTTTTCGCCTTGCCTACACGCAAAGTACGGTTCACGACAGTTATACGAGTAAGTAAATTTCATTTTTTACATTCCGAAACCAAAAATCAACACATCACGCATTAGAATCATATCATTTTCACCCATCACAAAGCACGCACACCAAATTCAACTAACATTCACACTGTTCCTAGACGAAATAATCAACAGATTTTTTCGCGCAAAACATGTATAATTCATTAAAGGAACAGAAATAAATATTCATATGCGAGCACGTAGTTCCAAGACCAGCTAGCGGGGTCGAAACGTGCTTTCCCGGTTATGCTTGGAGCCTGATGAGAACATAACCTTGGTTTTGAACACAAAACACATGGGACTTGGCCTGGGTGGCGATACATTGGCATTCACCCAGGTCTTGGCATCATCACAATACATCTCACATTATAAACGCACCCGGGTATGCCTGCGCGATCTTCACAAAAACAATCAATCGAGTCATACACGTCACAGTTTTACTATTCATGTCTCATTTTAGCTTGAATGTTCAGACTTATGTATCACTTATATTTCATACCATTTTACAACTCATATATCACCAGTATCATCACTTTATATCTACATTATAAATCAAGCTTCACCAACATCATCACGGTCCATGTATCATCATAACATAATTCACTAAAATCATCACTATCTATCAGTTACATTGAATCGAAATTTCATTTCACTCCACACACCATTTGACGTTCACCCAATAGAATGTCCCAACAGGTCAGCAGGGCCATTTCACAGCATTCCGGGATCTGAATACCTGCAGCCACCTTTTTGATCCAATTCTAAAAAAACAAACAACAAATTCGAAAAAATATCGATCGAGAATATCATTTTTATGTTGCAAATTGAAACAAATATGAATGAAACATTGATTATTTTGCACTTACAACGGATGGCCGGAATTTAACGAAATACAGATGGTCAAACCACGCCGAAACTATGTAAATCGTATCGAAAGACGAAGTATGAAATGTGAATGGAATTTATAAGAATTTTTGCAACCGTTCAATTTATTTTTGGTCTGTATGCTACATGCATATAACATCAAATATTAATACTTTTGGGAAATGGAATACTCTAGAATGCAGATGGAGTGGTAAATTTCAAAATTTCAACTGGATAATGGATGCTCTTAATTGCCTCTTGGAATTGTCGATTACTGTTACACGTATAGTGGACGTGCATGACATTGAAACTGGTTTGTCAACACAAATTTTGAGATATTTCAGCAAAGAACAAACTTCAAATTTACAATCCCATGTGTTTTTACGCTGTATGTTTACGCTGTATGTTACTATAGCGAGAAATATCTCGGGGATTTGTTGAATACATGTACAGCATGTAAACAACTATGTAAACGCTGAGTAAACTGCTTAGTGCTGACCTGTGCTTGTAACACAAATTTCAAGCAACTATTGTGCAAGTTGACCAAATGTAAGAAGTGTTTATATATTCAGTAACTATAAATCAAGCAAAGTTATACAATTTATATTGTTGCTGTATTATGTTAGATGTTATGCTCAAGATTATTCTACTGCATTACTGCATGGTATTAACCAGCCTGCCATCCAGCTGACTAAAATTTTAAACAGCCATCTAAAAATTTGGATTGTCACTTGTGTCAAGAAACATACCTTTACGCCACCAAAAGAGATACACCTCCATGTGTAAATAAAATAATACAGGGATCGATCCAGCATGATCTGGTAGGGGGCTGCTCTACAAGCTCTGCAGTGGTGCCGCCAGCTCGATAATTGGGGGGGGGGGGCGAATATTCATATATTTGTGTTCACAGAGCATAAAAACAATCAATTTCAAAAAGAAGTTAATAATGCAGAACACAAAGATATGAATATTCGCCCCCCCCCCCCAATTATCGAGCTGGCGGCGCCACTGAAGCTCTGGTGCAGAGTTGTGTCGGTCATGTGTGCCACTCGCCCATCAACATACTACATTTGAATTTGAATTGTTGTTCACAGTTTGCTTATCATCATGTTATTGCTCAAATTACTGTATCTCATTTTGTCTCTATTATTTTTTGCTTTATCATGAAAAAAGCACCCCCTTCACCCTCTCCTGTCAGGGCTTGGAGGGTGCACCCCCTCTAGTAAATCTGCAACTTGCAATGCAATTTCTGATAAAAGGCGATGTGATTTAAAAATAAGTCAGAGGGAAATTGTGAGCATAGACAACAGTTTACACTACTTTTATTTTTTTATCCCATTTTCATCCATTAAAAACATGTTATATATTAAAGGTGTCAGCAGAACAGAATGCTGGCCATGTTCAATTATGTCACTATTTTATCTGGCAGGTTATGACATGCTTGATCAATGTTGTCATTGACAATGGTTGCTTGTCCATGTGTTGTAGCCTTGAAGCTGCTAATTGTACAATGTAAACCTTGCTGTTCACACTTTCTAGGATGCAGCAACTTAGTCTCCATCTCAGACATGCAAAATAGCACCTAGTTTTTTGCATAGAAATCCTGACAATTCAACATCTTCATTTGGATTAAAAAAAATTAAAAAATTATTATTATAATCATCTACCATGGTATTGTTTAACTGCTGGATTGTACAATGCAATTCACACCATGCAGGTACTGGACACTAGTGCACACATAGCCTGCATGGCAGGCGGTACTTAGGAAATACCGCCTGCCGCAAAACTGGGTGTAAATGAACTACCGCCCCTGAAGCTCAACGCTATTTATAGATGCATTAATTAAGTAAATATTCAAAATTAGCCACTCCCAAGCTGCTCCCAAGTCCCAACTGCCCAATAAATTCCCCGATTCTCATCACCGCCCGACTGAATTTTAAAATCCTCGTGAAAACGTTTTATATTTCGTTATACAATATAAATGTACCGCCCGACAAAATAATTCAAGACAGTTAATTTTTTTATATTTTATATAGGGTTTTTATTGCCATTTTAAACTTCCAATTTGAAACAAACAGAATTTTGAATGAAATTTCATTGTATTTTAAAGAAATTCAGTCATTCTGTCATTGTTCGTGGAGATACGAACTATTGATATATAAATTATATAAATATAAAATATAAAAAATAAATCTCCCACTGTCTTCGACATTTCAAAGTGTAGACTGTGTCTAGTGATGAGAATCAAGGAATTTATTTTATGTGTTAACAGTATAAACCAAGCTCGTTTAGCTGCCTTAAAACGGTAGTTTAATAAGCTCAAAATACAAAGCATGCAAGTCTATACTATAGATTCATCATCAATCAACAACCAAACTGAAAGTATTGAAGCTTACAGAACGATAGTTTTTATTTGTTTACAACTATACATATTCAACGGTATATAAGAGTTTAACTGTTATTTGATAATTACTGCATAAACCGGCCCCTTGTTTATATACTTTGGAGGTTCGTATGTATATAATACCTATCAAGTATCTTTGGTTCAGAACATGATAGGCATATATGAAAATCCCACTGTTCGATTCAGTGAAGAAATATCTCCTAATTTCTATCGATAGTAAACTGATGTCAACATTATTGCGATTTATGGCCTTTGAAAGTCAAGCGAGATAGTATATTATCAAATTAATACGCATGCAATTGTCTGAACGAAAATGTAGACTACCCCGTACCTTTCGCCGATCATAACGTCGGCCCCTTCGGACGTATCTTCTTTGTTAAATATTCTTGTTCGAATCTCTATCAAAAACACTATTTAGAGTGTTATTTTTCAGCTTGTATCTTTTAATTTGCTTCTTTTATTATGTTATTCCATTTCTGGTCTGACTTGACGTGAACTAATTTCAAAACGCAGAGTTTCAAAACGTCAAAACATTTGGTTAATGATTAACATTTAACCGAATTTAGCCGTTGATTGACAACTACATAAAAATACTAACCAATCCGTTTTTCCCGTTCACCAGCGGACGGGTAATTCAAAAACCCCTAGTTTTGCGGCAGACGGTATTTCCTTTGCCTTCCTAATTTTCGCTGCCTGTAGAAATACCGCCTGCCGCGCAGGCTAGTGCACACATGAAACAAGACATAGTATAGTAAGCAGGGGCGTCGCTAAGGCATCAACATTG